TAAGAATGAGCTCTGCCATTGTTTACACCAAGATATGCTATAGGATACTTAGCGGTTGATAAGTCTTATTTCTTACTGCCGAAGATTGATAAGGACTCAGCTAATCGCTTCAAAAAAGTGGCCGCCTATGTCCTTCTACGAGGTCGAAAAGATATTTACGTGCAATTTCAGCTCTATAAGGTGTAATATAGGGTTACCGAAGACTTGAAAAATTTTGTGCTTTATGCTTAGAGAGGTATGTTGTATTGAAATAGCAATGGAACTTCTTTGTTTTGTCCTTATCGGGATTAGTTCTCAAGAGTGCGCATAATGCCTGCATTAGTTTAGGATTCTCGCAAATTCTGTGGGGTTGTGTACCTGTGTCAAGAAAAAGCTTTGGTTCATTTTGACATGCTTTTTTCGAAATCATTTTCGATGGGCTACGAGAGCACTTGAAGCGATGAAAGTATTTGGCTGCTTTTCATAAAGGAAAACCAGCGCATAACGTACATCAGAACTCTTGATCGCTTTCAGCAATGATTAAAAAGTACGTTCTACTCTATTTCATTCACCATGCGAAAATCAGCCAGGAAAGAATCCAAATGATGGCTGGAAATACCTCGCTGCCGTTTGTTTCGACGCTCAAATGAAGGGAGACAAACACATTGTTCTAGGCAAGCCTGATATATTGGAAACTGAATGGTATGCCATAACGTTAGTCCACAATTTCGGGATTGTATAAGAATGGGGTTACCGAGTAGAAAACGTTGAAATGACTTCATAGCTACCCTCTGATTCAACCTGGCAGGCGCTAGAGGGCGGGGCTGCGATCGATTTGAGAGCACGTAAGCGTGGGAGACGCAGCCCTGCATTTCTCTCGCGCGCGTGCTTTCTGATCATTCTCTACCCTTAATTAAGTCACGAAGCTCTGCCCATTAGCCGCCTTTCTGGTTGAATCAGAGGTTAATCACCACAGGAAGCAAGGTTTCCACATGTAGATACCGCCAATTCTTTTGGTTTTGGCAAGAGTTTGACATTGTCTATGTTGAAAACAAATATGGTACAAGGAAGGAAGAGTATTCTTCACTAAAAAATGGGTTTGAATGATGGAAAATTGCCGACTATCCCTTTTACTTGAGGAGCATCTTCTAATCAACTTGAGGATAGGGAGATTCTATGCTGTGTAATAGTGAAGCCTCACCTAAGTATTGGGTTGGTTCAAAAGTTCTACCCGTTTTCGAACTTCGAGTTTGAATC